ACACAAAGAGAATGCTTCTACTCACTGGAAAGATTTTCTCTCACTGGAAGCTACCTGCCATTATCTTTGCTGATGAAATAACGAAAACTCCACAGAACTGATACTGGATACTGTATTTTCACTTTTCATTCCTATTGAAAACACAGGACCACTGGAAAACATTCTTCTCCCCAGGGTGTCTTCCCAAAGGGGTTGGCGCCCCTTTCCCCCAATCTTACTGCTGCTAGAACTGTGCTGTTACTGACCGAAGAGTTATTTTGGACCTCTCAATGCAGCAATTCAAAAACTTCCATTCATCTGTACATCTTGGATTTACATACTATGTGTTGGAAAGGAAAGGTAATAATATGATGAAACAACCTTAATTATTTAATACACATTTGGAGGACAGCAGCGATTTCCACTTTACTTCCTTATCACTCTTCATACTCTTGAGAATTGGTGGCTTTCCCATATTATTTCATCCTAAACCCCCCCAAAAAGTGGTTCTTGATCTTTTGTATTCCTTTTAACATCCGATAAGTGATAGAGCCCCTTCAGGAAGTGCACGTGCGCGCGTGCATGCATGCGCGCGCGCACACACACACACACACACACACACACACACACACACACACACACACCATGCCATGGTATAAAACTTCAGAGAGTTAACAGACCCTCTGAAACCCACCCATGGAGTTCCAATTTAACAACTTCAAAAACTGCCATGTTATTTTTTGAAATAAAATGTATATATTATAGACACAGACTTAAAAAAACAGACCAGTATTTTCTTAATTTATTTTGGTGAATCAAGACAAGTAATAGTTTTAGAACAAACAAAGAAAACAACCACAGCATTATAATTTTCAGGAATCTACTTTTTAATTTACTCACCCTGCAGGATCATTTTGCCTTAGGGGTTAAACGTGAAACTATAAACAGTCATTAAAACGCAAAACAACCATGGTAGTTAACCGGATATTAAGGGAAAAAAAAAAATCACATCTGTTTTAGAGTTCCCTTCCATCCGCAAATTCAGGAACATTAATTTCAAGAACCTGGTTTTATGGCTTGCCTTTAAGTCAAGAACACCAGGTTACAATCAAGGCAAGGAAGGTAAGACTGCCCATAAGGGAGGCTCTCACTACAATATCTTGCCCCCAGGATTCTCTTTCTTTGATTCAAAAGCAGTCAGTAGAATTGACTTTTCTGCTCCTTGAAAAATAGTCATTACTATTTGCACATCAATAATCATGCTATTCTGATTAACTGGATAGGTTTATGAAAAGAGGAAGAAAGGAAACAAATTCCTGTGCTGTTTATCTGGTGGTACTATAAGTGACAAATACTGAGATTTAGTGGCTTTGCAGTATACACAGGATTAGAAGCTTGCAGAGGATCTGATTTTTCTAATTTAAACCCTTTTGTAAAACTCCAACTTGTTTGATGGTGTACATCTTAAATAACCAATATGTAATAACTTCACCAGCCAGAAAACAAGTGCAACTTTTCTGACATTTCAAAAACGTATCTCCAGACATCAGAGAAAACTCTCTTCCCTATAGCAAAGCCTAATGAAGTACATCTAAAAATAACAATCATCAACTGCGGTTTTAAAGGCAATATTTCAATATAATCAAATGTGTCAAATATTCATCCTTACAGCTTCTTATGCTGTGGGTCGTAAGTAAGTTTCATTTCTTGGGAATGACTGAATATAACCCACTTGGGGCTCTGCCATCTGTGAATTACTTACATATGAACACTCTGTTTAAGAGGGAAATTTTGTTGTCATTGCCTTTCTTCTTGGATATTGAAATGAAATGCAATTGAACAGAGCTTTTTAAGCAATTATTTTTCATATTAGTTGCTATATGGGTACATTATCGCATGTTCCCCACGTTCGTCATCACTTATCAAATCATAGGAATCAAGTACGGTGCCGCTGAAGTGCAGGAGAACCTGACAGATGGAGAAGAATCCATATTCTCAGATTCTGTCCTCCCTGGGCTCCGGTCATTGCCACACAGAACGCTCCCTGCAGTGCGCTCCCATGTAAGAGTTGTGGTTCTTATGTCCCCATGGTTTCCTTGAAAGGCTACTCCTCTGATCAGTGAACAAACAATACAAGTGACTAGAGGGCTATGTGTAGGGTGCCACATAATTTATCAGCCATACATGGACACCTCTGAGAGTTAGCAGGGAAACTATTAATAAATATGCCAGAACAACAGGCATGAACTAGGATTGCCCCAGGCAAACCTATTCATACTGTTATCCCAGAGATATTGTGCAACTCAAAGAACTTTCTCCCAAGGGTCTCAAACCATTTCATTAGTGCTACTTCCAATTTTACTTCGGTCTAGAGCTACTCTGTCCAATAGGAATAGAATGTGAACCACAGACGTAATTTTTAATTTTTTAGTAGCCATTTGTTTAAAGTAAAATAGGTGAAAACAATTTAAATATATTTTATTCTATCCAGCTTACCAAACATAGTATCATTTCAATGTGTAGTCAATACAAAATTATTAACGAGATCTTTTACATTACATTTTTCATATTTCAATCTTTGAAATCTAGCGTGCATGCCACACTTAAAATACATTTCTTATACTCAATAGCAACATGTAGCCAGTGGCTATGATACTGGACAATCAGGTCTGACCAGCCCACAAGTTAGGATGTGCAGGGATAAAGGAACAGAGTTATAATACATACATACACACGTGTGCGCGCGCGCACACACACACACACACACACACACACACACACGCAAACTGCATTTTCCTTCTAGGTAAAAAATAGGCACACCTAAATGTCTTCACTTACTAACTTTACACTTGCCTGGGGTGATCCAAACCTTAGGGCAGATAAACACTCACCTGGCAGATTCTTTGGGGGAGCAGAGAGAATATCTGAGTTAGAAAAGTTGGGTAACTGCTGAGAATTTCTAGGACTTTTTCCAGACTAGTATTAGTCTTGCGTCCAACACACATACACTGAGCACCTTCCATGTACTTGGGACTAGAGAAAGAAAGATAAATAAGGTACAATGCCTGCTCCTTGTAACGTTAAGGATTAAAGTTTGCATGAAGATTATTTTACAATTGAGGCAAGAGAAGCCTAGGATGTGCCATTATTCTGTGGCAAGGCAAGGACCAGATTCTCTTCTTTGCGTCTCAGGTCTGAACTTCATAATCCACAGAGAACTCTGGGAGGGAAGGAGGAAATGTGCTTTCCTTTCTACTGTTGATACATAGGGACTGACCCATGTTTGATAACTTGCATAGGTTAGGTAAAAGGATTTTCGGTGCCAGCATTTCTCCTTGAATTAGAATTTGCATTTCTGCTAGTAATAATATACCTCCCTCTCCAAATACCCCAACTTGGAACTCAACAATATCATATTTTGGTAAGGATACAGAATCTAGCAGAAAGATAGTAGCCCTCATTTCCTCTAGGGCAAGCTATATTGTTGTATTTTCAATTGGTCTCAACACAGAGCCTAAGTGATAGAGACACAGACCTAATATTGGTGGGGTTTCTGCATGTAAATCATGGTAACACAGATCACACTTTTGTTTCAGGGTGTATTAATGTCGTAAAAATAAGCAGTGAATTATACTTTTTTCTCTTTTATGTAATTCTTGTTTTTATAGTCCTTCTCTTCCTCCAATCCAATATATTCAGGCTTTACATGGTCTCAATCAGTGGGCATTAAACACACACACACACACACAGCATACCACATACTGGTTCTGTTTGTACTCATCATTAGAACAGAACACACACACCTGATTTTTACTAAAGTAATGTTCCATTAAATATGTTTCTTTATAAGGATGGGAAGTGAGAAAACATTACATCTAAACTACTTTCAGGACACTCCCTTGCTTACCAAAAGAAACGTGCCCAAATATTGCTGCAAACCTATGAGTAATTACCCCATGATTTATTATGGTGACTCCCACCTCACATACATTAACACTGGGTTCTTGATAAGAATATTTTATACCAAACTGGGAGAATCCATTTAGCTCATTTAGCATCTCTACATACCAAAAATGTTGCTTTTCTTCTGAAGGCACTATACACAGTGAGACTTAAAATGGAGAAGAGACTTGCTTTTAGGAGACTTTTAAATATGGTTACATTATTGAAGATCACCTATTGCAGTGATACACAGGCATTATCCAAAATCTAACTCTCAGGCTATTTCAGAGGATGAACCAAAATTACAATTGTTCAAAGCAACTCAGGACTTAGCAGAAAAATCCCACAGCTCCACATGGAAGGAGGGCATTGTCTCTTCAGGAAACTATTCTCCACTTAACTTCTCAATTCTAAGTAGAGCATTTATAGGGATACCTAGGTCTAAGCACTTTGGGTATATAATTTTATTTTTCCTTAATTTGAATGTTGAGATCTAGAAACCCAGTCCTGGTACCACATGTCTACGATACTGGTAGCCTGAAACTCTATCACCATTCACCATGGTATGACTTATGACTTCACAAAGCACTGTATTGTATTAACATACTGAAAATAGATAAACTATCTCCTGCAGCATTATGAAAGAGAAGGATGGGAAACCCGACAGTATAGTGCACTGGTTAAGAGCATAGGTTCTGGAGCCAAACCACCTGGGTTAAATTCTTGGCTCTGCCACTTACTAGCTGTGACCTTTGACAAATCACTAAACCTCCTTCTGCCTCAACTTCATTATCAGTGAAATGGAGACAAAAACATGTTTGTACTTTGATGTGGAAGTATAGATGACTTAATGTAAAGCCCTTATAACAGTGCTAGGCACATAATTGGTGCTCTGTAAATAACAGCTATCACTATAACTATATACTAGCAATAGCTCATGCCAGTTATTATTATAACTAACACTATATATCCTATCAAGAGCTCTAATTATCCACTTACTTAAGACTGCAAAGTCCCAGTTAGTTTATGGGTAAGGCGCTTTGATCTTTCATTAGGAATGCAAACGGCAGGATACCTACTGGAATAACAGGTTTCAGACTCTGGCCACTGGGGTGTGAAGCGCTTGGCTGGGCATCAGCAGGTGGGCTTGGCGCTGGGTCACTGCTTCTCCTCACCAGCAGCGGAGTGCCTGTAGGACAAAACAAGAGGGGAGAGGTCAAGAATGCCCTGGGGGGAAGAGAGGGCACAGTACAATGCAATTTAATTAAAAAGGTTTACAACAAGCTTTTATGTAAAAACATTCTATTTCTAAGGATGCCTATAAATTAATCCATTTAATGATCTTTTGTCCTCTATTTATAGAATGACACAGGGAAACAGAATCTTTCAGCTCTCAGCTTTCCCCACTTGCATTTCAAAACAAGCCATTCTACTTAACAGAAAACTGCTAGGCAATGCAAAAGTTGACAGTGTACAATCGAAAACTGGTCTAGAAAATATATTTGAGTATTAAAAAGAATGATTATCCAGCAGACAAGTGAAGAGGTGCACACAGTCAGTGCAATTTGCTATTCAGGAGAGCTAGAAGTATAGTTATTACTGCCAGTTGGAGCTTCCCAACTCTTCTGAATGATATACACTGAAATAAATTATTTGCTGGGGTTATAGCATTAATGTCTACTTAAGTACAGCAAGAGATGGTTTCATTCTCCTTTTCTCCTAAAGTAGATAAAACTGATAAGGAAAATAAGTTAGTTCTTTTAAAAATATATCCTGATTTCTTTTTAATAATGAAAGCTTCCACTATTAAATATTTGCGTCAGTTATTAAATTCTGAAAACAGATCATACTATTATAAAGTTCAAATGAAATTCAACCTTATCAGAGAGGGTGACACAACTACTCAGCCTGCAATTAGGCCGAAAATAATTTGTTTTGTACACAATTGGTCACTACAGAAGAAACTCTCAAAAACTCTGTTTGTGACTTAACAATCGCTCTCATAAAAATTAACTTCCTATTTGTGTGCCTTTGGGGAAAAAAGAAACAGTATTTTCAGTATTTATCAATATTCTGAAAGTAATTCCCCAACTCCCGAGCTATTGCAGCTTAAAATAACATTTTTCATACCTCATTTTATATGGTACAGTTATAAAAAGTGAATCCATTTTGAAGTTATTTACAAATCTGATTCTTCTATGTACTACAACATCCTTATTCTGTGAACAAAACATAGAATTGCTAATACTTTTCACCCTTATTCAGTTAGAAATTGATTCTTAAAAAATAACTTATAATAAGAAATGAATGTGCTATGAGGAGGAAACACTATGCCAAAAGGTATTATAAAGCCCAAGTTCACATTCCATTATTTATTTTTTATTAATAGACACTTCACTACATTATTCCCCACCTCCATCTAAAACTTTTTTAAGTATAGCTGATTAACAATATCATGCTGGTTTCAAGCGTACAGAAGAGTGATTCAGCGTTTTTGCAGATTCTATTCCATTATAGGTTATTACAAGCTAATGGGTATAACTCCCTGTTCTATACAGTATATCCTTGTTGCTTACCTATTAAATATATATTAGTGTGTATCTGTTAATCCCGTACCCCTTCTTTGCTCCTCCCCACTTCCCTCTCTGCTTTGGTAACCACAAGTTTGTTTTCTATATCCATGAGTCTGTTTCTGGGCTGCATACACATTCAGTTGTATTATTTTAAAACATTTCTTAAGCAAGTGACATACCAACAGTTCTATGGTTGGCAATTAATCTCTGAAAGAAATATTAAAAACAAAAAAATAAGGAGGAAAAGTAAGAGAAAGTACCATAAAATCTTAGAGTCCCCTCAGGTTAAGCGCCTGAATTACCATTAACACAAAGTGAACCAGCCAGTCTAAATGCAATATCCTCAAAAGCAACCCATTATCTTTAAAATTAAAAAGAGAATGGGGCCAACTCCATGAAACTCTGGTTTGTTTCCAGAGTTTTAACCCACACTAGTACACTGCAACAATCAATAATATCAAATTGGAAAAAGACAAACAAATAAAAAACATGTTAAACCTGTATGGGATACCGAGGTCACAAAATACGTTGATTTAGAGGCACAGAAATAAATATTTCAGTGACTGACAATTTCAGTTACGTTGTTTTTTCAGCTGAGTCATATACATATATACATACATACATACATACATATATATATATATATACACACATATACAGAATGTGTGTGTGTGTGTGTTGGTGAGGGGGAAGAGAGAAAAGGAGGGAGAAAGAAAGACATTATTCTTGGGTAACAAATATATTTTTCTCAAATAAGCCACACTATATAGTTTTCCTTCAACTCTAAAGACATGACTGACTCTTTACTTACTGTATCTGCTGTTTTAATAACAAAATGTTAAATTATTTAAAACATAATTTTATAATAGCATGTATTTGTATTTCTATAATCAATCAATATGCCACAGTATTATAGGGTGTCTTCCAGAAGATGACAGTTCAGTTTTGTACCAGTGGACCAACTATTTGGAACATTAACAAACAAACAAACTGTAAAGCAGCTAGATCTTTTTTTTTTAACTTTTTATTTTATATTGGAGTATGGCTGATTAAAACAACGTTGTGATTGTTTCAGGTGCAGAGCAAAGCGACTCAGCCATACATATACATGTATCCATTCTCTCCCAAACTCCCCTCCCATCCAGGCTGTCACATAACACTGAGCAGAGTTCCCTGTGCTATACAGTAGGTCCTTGTTGGTTATCCATTTTAAATATAGCAGTGTGTACATGTCAATCCCAAACTCCTTAACTATCCCTTCCCCTGACCCTTCCCCTCTGGTAACCATAAATTCATTCTATAAGTCTGTGAGTCTGTTTCTGTTTTGTAAAGAAGTTCATTTGCATCATTTATTTTTAGATTCCTCATATAAGGGATATCATATGATATTTCTCTTTCTCTGTCTGACTTACTTCACTCAGTATGATAATCTCTAGGTCCATCCATGTTGCTGCAAATGGCATTATTTCATTCTTTTTAATGGCTGAGTAATATTCCATTTGTATAGATATCCCACATCTTCTTTATCCATTCCTCTAGTGAGGGACATTTAGGTTGTTTCCGTATCTTGGCTATTGTAAAGAGTACTGGAATGAACACTGGGGTGCATGTATCCTTTCAGACCATGTTTTCCTATATGCCCAGGAGTGTGACTGCCGGGTCATATGGTAGCTCTATTTTTAGTTTTTCAAGGACCTCCATACTGTTCTCCATAGTGGCTGCACCAATTTACATTCCCACCAACAGTGTAGGGGGGTTCCCTTTTCTCCACACCCTCTCCAGCATTTATTGTTTGTGGACTTTTTTTTTTTTTTTTTTGGTACGTGGGCCTCTCACTGTTGTGGCCTCTCCCGTTGCAGAGCACAGGCTCCGGACGAGCAGGCTCAGCGGCCATAGCTCACGGGCCCAGCCGCTCCGCGGCACGTGGGATCCTCCCGGACCGGGGCACGAACCTGTGTCCCCTGCATCGGCAGGCGTACTCTCAACCACTGTGCCACCAGGGAAGCCCATGTTTGTGGATTTTTTTGATGATGGCCATTTTGACTGGTGTGAGGTGATACCTCATTGTAGTTTTGATTTGCATTTCTCTAATAATTAACAACGTTAAGCATCTTTTCATGTGCCTCTTGGCCATCTGTATGTTGTTTGAAAACGTACTGCCAACTCATCAGGAATAAGTTTTGTTTTCCTCTACTTTTCTGTATTCCATACTTAAATGTCTCCTGTTGAGTCACTTAATTTCTCCTTGGCTGTCTCCAATGAGCACCTTTAAATAGGAACTGCTGTCTCAGAGAGTTTTAAACAACCTTTCACATGGTGATTTAAAATCTAATTTTTTTTAATTTTAATTTTAATTTTTTTTTGCGGTACGCAGGCCTCTCACTGTTGTGGCCTCTCCCGTTGCGGAGCACAGGCTCCGGACGTGCAGGCTCAGCGCCCATGGCTCACGGGCCTAGTCGCTCCGCGGCATGTGAGATCTTCCCAGACCGGGACAAGAACCTGTGTCCCTGGCATCGGCAGGCGGACTCTCAACCACTGCGCCGCCAGGGAAGCCCAAAATCTAATGTTTAAATTCCAAGCCCCATTTGAAGGTGAGACTGAGTTATACTTTAAAGACAAGGAAAGATACATCCTACTGTATAAGAGAGAGTGATCAGAAGTACTGAAGATGATTTGGGCAAATCCTTGAATATATACATATAATAGGGTAAAAGGCACATCTGGCTGAAATGAGAGGGAGACAACTACATTTGGTTTTTGGAAACTCCTGGGGGTGGGGGACAAGGGGGTGTACATAAAATATAACCTCTGTGCTGAAGGAGTTTATAACCTAACAGTAAAGATCAGACACTAAGAACTACAGTGTCGGGACAGTGGAGAGGACCTGGGCTTTGGAATCAAATAGACTGAACCTCACCTCTCCTTGCTCTGTGACACTGGACTGCTTTGTGATACAGTCTCATCATTTATAGCCTGATGGTAACATCACGTCACAGAACTGATGGAAAGCTGAAATAAAATAAGACATGCATGAAACATGGTACTGTCCAATATCTAATTTTCACACAGGAACCACGTCCTCCCCACATATACACACATACACAAGGAAAAGGAGGTTATAGCACTTGCTAATGTTGTGAGCAGTGTTACCTTATCTGCTCAAAAAGCTGAACTCCTGAAAGTCAAGTGAATTTTCTTGGAATACTATGTAAATGAAAATAGTAAAACATAATTCTGTGTAAAATCAGGTGTAGCCTTACTATACAAATCTAAGCTTCCAAGAAAAAAATGATGAGGCAGAAAGGAAGTTCAAAAATGGGGAAAAAAATACTACCCATTGGTATTTTTCAGCTGAGAAAAGACTCATTAGATTTTAGAAGCAAAAGCCCTCAATTCAGCTCAAGGAACAGTATTATTCCTTGATATCATAGTTTAAAAGTCACTGGTTGCAGAGCCCAAATAAAATAAGAAATATTAAGACTAAAGCATAAAGTCTTATACAACTGCATTATGTTTTCCCACTCAGTTAAACATTTGAGGCCCCACTATGCATCAGCCTATACAAGGGGTGGACAATATTAAGGTGAATAATCATGGTGCTTATTCTAAGCATATC